CTGCAGGCACTCACATTTCCTCATGTGTTATCCCTTAAAAGACCCTGTCAGTTCAGAAAAATACCTGCTTATATGTCAGAAATGAACTCAGCAAGTCCTGGCTGCCAAACAAGCAGCTGATTAGGTTTGTGCTTTTGATTCACACTGGAAGACATACTAGTGGTGCACCGAAATGAAAACCTAAAATTCAGGATGCACTTGGCCAAAAACTGAAACCGAATTAGACAATACATATATATATATATATATATATATATATTATATATATATAATTGTATTATATTTGACTTTTTAAATAATGTCATGAATTTAAAAATACAATCCAGTAACGTAAAAACTTTTGTTGAACGCAAAACACTAAAATTGGTCAGAAAATAAAATTAAATATATATAAAATGTAAAAATATTGCATTGAAGTCTATAGGGGGCATTTTTGCATTGAAGTCAATAGGACTCGATTTAGCATTGCAGTTAATAGAGGGTGTTTTTGCATTGAAGTCAATGGGATACGACTTTGCATTGAATTCAATTAGCATTATCTGCACTTTTTTTTTTTCTATCGATGATAACCTTATTTTCCGCAGATAATTCTTGTTTGGCAATATATCGCTAAAAAATACCATTGTGGGTAGAGTTCACTTCTGGTTTTTTTACTTTGTTGCCAGTCAAGTCCTGATGAATGGGGCACTTAGACCCCAGAAACGCATTGGCTACTTTTTGAATGGTATCCTTGACCTTTAATGGAATATAGTTGTTTCTGGATCTCTTAGCAGTGGTGTGGTGCTTCAATTTCAACTCTTCTTACATTACATTACAAGCCATGGAGACTGTGGAGATCCTCTGGGGTGTAGAAGCTGCCTACCCAGGAACCAGATCATTTACCTCCACGTCAATATCTTAAGACAGGGGTCTCCAAAATTTCTAAACAAAGGGCCAGTTTACTGTCCTCTAGACTTCGAGGGGGTGGACTGTGGCCAGTGGGAGTAGAAAAGGTCCAGATGTCAGTGGGAGTAAACCATGTCCCTTTGTTGGTGTCAGTGGGAGGAATAGCACCCCATCGTTGTTTTCAATGTGAGGAATTGTGCCCCAATGTCATTGGGCCTCATTGTTGGTGTCATTGTGAGGAATAGTGCCCAATAATTGGTGTCAGTGGAGGGAATTATGCCCCATTGTTGGTATCAGTGGATAAAATAGTGCCCCAAGGGCCAGATAACAGCAAGCCAAGGACCACATCTGGCCCCCGGGCTGCAGTTTGGAGACCACGGCCTTAAGATAAAAATAAAAAAACTCTACAGGTCCAGCGCTATATTTTACTTCCTCCCCTCCTCTACCCCTCTTCTAGAAAGTTCCTCCAGTTTCTAGAAGGGTGGGAGGGCTCAAGAAGCCCTGACCGGAAGAGCCTCCCAACCTATCCCAAGGTGAACTCTCTACCTCACTCCCAGGCTGACTCATCCCAGGTGCTACAACAGAGGTAGCTACAACATTATGCTATGTGAATGGAAACATATAACAAATTACAAAGAAGGTGTTATCACAATTTGGCTTGAAAAGTGGAAATACACTTTAAAACAAATCTATACCATAAGAAATTAAATTTAAAAAAAACCACTTCCATGAATAGACTTACTTGTGAGGATGTCAACAGTTTCCCACAATACAGCCTTTGTCTCCAGGCCCTTTGGATTCACCATTACCATCACTTCATGTGCCAGCATCTTTTTCAAGGTGCCAGTACACAGGTTACCCAGCTTTAAGTGCCTTGCCCCAAAGCATTATTACTTTCTATTCCCCCAGTGATATTTTTGGGCTCATTGTTTTTAGCAGAACCCTAATAAATCAAGTAGTAAAGTGTTTTGATTACAATAGTTTTGTGTGTCTTCAATCTTTTGCAAAAAACATGCAGTTAAAACTGTGTGTGTATGTGTATATATATATATATATATATATATATATATATATATATATATATATATTCATTCATCCACTCAGTACACCTGAAAATGCCAACTGATACCCTAACCTGTTAGCCATTTGAATCTAACTGTATTAAGCCCGAGTGGGTCCACGGTATCTACAAATTACAATACTCCATCAACATGTGGCACTACCCCCATAGGGGCCACTGGTAACAAGTAGATCTTCCCTAATAGTGCACAGGCAGCCAGTCACACAAGTCCAGACCATACATTCCAGCTCCAATGAATCAGTTTAGTAGGTGTCTTTTTGTAATTTATTGCTTGAAGAACGGGAGGGGGTTAGGGCCTGGAATACTCCCAAACGCTTACTACTTAGTGATTGAAGGACAATCTTCTCCGTATGTAATTGGGTGTTAGACAAGTCTTTTTGGCATCTGGATACACAATTACCTGTGCCTAGCACAATCTTCAGAGCACTGCACAGTCACAAAGATCAGTTTAGGGTCTTTACTCACAAGACCCCAAGACAGCTGCCACCTTTTAGCTTCCTCCGGACATGGTCCAGTGAGTAAGAGGGTCCCTATCCAGACCATATCTGTCAGGAATGGACTGGCCAGCAATAGTGGGACTCACCTGCCTTGTGAGCTGCAGTACCAGGGCTGGCCAGCGGGTGCTCCCAGCAATCAGAGACTCAACCTTGCAGCCAGTCAAACACCTGGAACTAATTATACTGGTGTATTTAAGGGACATTCAGACCTGCAGACTCTGCCTTGGTGTTGTGTTTTTCCTGGGCCCTGTATCTTGTTCCTGCATCCTGCTCCTGTTCCTGTTCCTGTCTTGTTGCTGACCCGGCTTGATTCTGACCTCTGCTGACTTCTCCTGTTCTGATCCCTGGCTTGTGACCCCGACCATTCTCTGCCTGACCCCCTGTACCTACCTGCCTGTTAGTTGCTGTACCCTGCTCGTGACCTGACTATTCTCCGCTTGCTCCCCCTGTACCTACCTGCCCGATTGATATTGACCCGGCTTGACTGACGACGCTTGCACTGTATGTACTGTTATCTGTGGGTGGTTTGGTTTGGTTCATTTGCACTGTGTTATGTTTTAGTATTGCACTGCGTTTATGTTTGTATTGTTAGCGTTAATAAATTGTTTATAACTTATCTTAAGTCTGCGTTTCCCTGCGTCAGTCACACACCTCTGGTCATACCCGGGAGCCCTGACATTACACCAAGGCCAATCCTGACCAGAAGTGGCTGCACAGGGAATCTTGGTTTGTTGATGGGAAGGATGGATCTGGATGAGGTTGCGTATTTATATCTGCTAGTGTTTGATGACAGGGAGTATGCTTATCAAACCCTGAAGGAGTATACCCGGGATGAACTGCTAGAATGTATATGGCTCGCTCATGTTCTAGTAGATCAGGGCACAGAGTTCTCTGAGGTGCAGCCATTGATTGAGGTTTGTGCTGAGTTGGTTTCATCTGGTACCCCCGAATGCAGGGATGAATTTTTGCCACCATTTAGTGCAGACCAGGTAGAGTCCCTGGTATGGTTATTAGAGGATGATGTAGGTTACTTTCTGGAGCATTATTCCACATGTTCACCACAGGTACTAAGAGATTGTATAAACGCAGTGCAGTCTTTGGTCAGACAGGCTTTGTGTAAGCTCAGCTTTGTTCAACCCATACTGCAGACATGGACAGATTTGTTACACCCAGCCTCAGTCAGCTTACAAAGACCCAGTCCTGCTTCTAATCTATTTCCTCAAAGCTCTACTCCTGTATTCCCAACAGCTCCTCCAGTTACAGCCCAGTATACTTGGCTATCTACCGCATGTCAGTACCCTGTTCCCACTCGCTGCACCTATCCTGCCTTTAACCCTGTAAAGAAGCCCTCTGTAGCAACTGCTCCCTCCCCTGTTCCATCCTCCAGCTCTTCTCTGTCTCCAGCTGCTCCATTCATTTGCAGACCTGCGTTTACTTGCAGTGCCCCAGTAGTTAAAACCAGAAAAAAGCGAAAATTCTTTCCAACCAGTACCATCCTGCCAGTATCCAAACCGGTGAGCCTACCGTCTGAGAACCTGCTTCCGTGGTTCAGCCTGATGCCTCTCTTCAGCCTGATGCCTCTACTCAGCCTGATGCCTCTACTCAGCCTGATGCCTGTACTCAGCCTGAAGCCTCTACTCAGCCTGAAGCCTCTACTCAGCCTGAAGCCTCTACTCAGCCTGAAGCCTCCACTCAGCCTGATGCCTCCACTCAGCCTGAAGCCTCTACTCAGCCTGAAGCCTCTACTCAGCCTGAAGCCTCTACTCAGCCGGATGCCTCTACTCAGCCAGATGCTTCTACCCAGCATAATGAACTGATCCAGCCTGATGATCCTATTAGGCCAGTTGACTCGATGCCCGCTGTTGATCCAGATGATCCGGTACCTGATCCGGTGCTCGCTGTCGTGCCAATTGACTCAGAGCCCGCTGTCGTACCTGGTGACTTGGTGCCCACTGCCTTGCCAGACGACTTGGTGCCCGCAGTCTTGCCAGACGACTCGGTGCCCGCAGTCTTGCCAGACGACTCGGTGCCCGCAGTTCCGCCAGTTGACTCGATGCCCGCTGTTCCGCCAGTTGACTCGGTGCCCGCAGTCTTGCCAGACGACTCGGTGCCCGCTGTTCCGCCAGACGACTCGATGCCCGCTGTTCCGCCAGACGACTCGGTGCCCGCAGTCTTGCCAGACGACTCGGTGCCCGCAGTCTTGCCAGACGACTCGGTGCCCGCAGTCTTGCCAGACGACTCGGTGCCCGCTGTTCCACCAGTTGACTTGGTGCCCGCAGTCTTGCCAGACGACTCGGTGCCCACAGTCTTGCCAGGCAACTCGGTGCCCGCAGTCTTGCCAGACGACTCGGTGCCCGCAGTCTTGCCAGACGACTCGGTGCCCGCAGTCTTGCCAGACGACTCGGTGCCCGCAGTTCCGCCAGTTGACTCGATGCCCGCTGTTCCGCCAGTTGACTCGGTGCCCGCAGTCTTGCCAGACGACTCGGTGCCCGCAGTCTTGCCAGACGACTCGGTGCCCACTGTCGTGCCTGGTGACTCGGTGCCCGCCGCTCCGCCTGGGGGCCCGAGACCTGTCGCTCCGCCTGGGGATCCGGCGCCCGCCGCTCCGTCTGGGGGCCTGAGACCTGTCGCTCCGCCTGGGGGTCCAGCGCCCGCCGCTCCGCCTGGGGGCCCGAGACCTGTCGCTCCGCCTGGGGGTCCGGCGCCCGCCGCCCCGCCTGGGGGCCCGATGCCTGTCGCCCCGCCTGGGGGCCCGATGCCTGTCGCCCCGCCTGGGGGCCCGATGCCTGTCGCCCCTCCTGGGGGCCCGGCGCCCGCCGCTCCGCTTGGGGGCCCGATGCCTGTCGCCCCGCCGGGGGGCCGATGCCTGTCACCCCGCCTGGGGGCTCGATGCCTGTCGCCCCACCTGGGGGCCCGATGCCTGTCGCCCCTCCTGGGGGCCCGGCGCCCGCCGCTCCGCTTGGGGGCCCGATGCCTGTCGCCCCGCCTGGGGGCCCAATGCCTGTCGCCCCGCCTGGGGGCCCGGTGCCTGCTGCTTCACCTGGTAATCTCCCGATGTGCCTCTGCCCGGAGTCCAGCCCGATGTGCCTCTGCCCGGAGTCCAGCCCGATGTGCCTCTGCCCGGAGTCCAGCCCGATGTGCCTCTGCCCGGAGTCCAGCCCGATGTGCCTCTGCCCGGAGTCCAGCCCGATGTGCCTCTGCCCGGAGTCCAGCCCGATGTGCCTCTGCCCGGAGTCCAGCCCGATGTGCCTCTGCCCGGAGTCCAGCCCGATGTGCCTCTGCCCGGTGTGCCGCTGCCCGGAGTGCCTCTGCCCCGAGTCCAGCCCGATGTGCCTCTGCCCGGAGTCCAGCCCGATGTGCCTCTGCCCGGAGTCCAGCCCGATGTGCCTCTGCCCGGAGTCCAGCCCGATGTGCCTCTGCCCGGTGTGCCTCTGCCCGGTGTGCTTCTGCCCGGTGTGCCCCTGCCTGGTGTGCCGCTGCCCGGAGTCCTGCCCGGTGTGCCAGTCTTTGATATCCCGCCAGTTACCAGACCCGGGCGGTGGAACTTTTTGCCCAGCTAGAACTGTTTGGAGCGTCCTGAGGCCGCTCCTTGAGGGGGGGTACTGTCAGGAATGGACTGGCCAGCAATAGTGGGATTCACCTGCCTTGTGAGCTGCAGTACCAGGGCTGGCCAGCGGGTGCTCCCAGCAATCAGAGACTCAACCTTGCAGCCAGTCAAACACCTGGAACTAATTATACTGGTGTATTTAAGGGACATTCAGACCTGCAGACTCTGCCTTGGTGTTGTGTTTTTCCTGGGCCCTGTATCTTGTTCCTGCATCCTGCTCCTGCTCCTGTTTCTGTTCCTGTCTTGTTGCTGACCCGGCTTGATTCTGACCTCTGCTGACTTCTCCTGTTCTGATCCCTGGCTTGTGACCCCGACCATTCTCTGCCTGACCCCCTGTACCTACCTGCCTGTTAGTTGCTGTACCCTGCTTGTGACCTGACTATTCTCCGCTTGCTCCCCCTGTACCTACCTGCCCGATTGATATTGACCCGGCCTGCCTGACGACGCTTGCACTGTATGTACTGTTATCTGTGGGTGGTTTGGTTTGGTTCGTTTGCACTGTGTTATGTTTTAGTATTGCACTGCGTTTATGTTTGTATTGTTAGCGTTAATAAATTGTTTATAACTTATCTTAAGTCTGCGTTTCCCTGCGTCAGTCACACACCTTTGGTCATACCCGGGAGCCCTGACAATATCTCTTGTGGTGAAGTTCTAATTAGCTTCTAGGAAGATCCATCCAGGCCCTCAGCCCTGACACCACTGAGACCTCTAGAACAGCTGCACAGTCCATGGTCTGCCTAAGGGTAGCAGTCCCTCATGCTTGGGAACCTCCTGGAGAGAGGGAACCCAGTTCTCCAGTGCTTCAGACTATTTATCACCATTCCAGTCCTCTTCCGAACACTCCTATCCAGGGGTTGGCTGGAACTTGATTAATATTCAAGCTGATTATTTTGAATCTTCCACCGAAAGCTCTGGAAGCTTCTTTGAGAGGCAGGGGCAGCAGTCAAACTCCTGTGAAAACCTGAACAGACCATGGCAAACTGGTCCTAGTCTCCAAACCATTTGCTAAAGCATGGGGGTAACATTAGGAATTAATCTCACCCTTATGCGTCTGCTAAAGAGCAGTGCATTTGTGTTTGCGTTGGGAATGCATATGATTTTGCGTGCATTCCCCGACCTGCAGTAGTGTGAGCTAAGCCTTAACTAGGGTGCCTTGAGAATGAAAATAACATTCAATTTCCTGACTGGAAAAAAGGTTGAGAAACACTGGGCTTGACAAAGGCACCCTGACTGCCATTAGGTATTGGGATAAAATCCTTGGACCCACTGTCAGACCCTACGCTGGTGCAGTGGGTCCTGGGTTCCTCCTTGTGTACGAAAATACCCAGCCTCATGTGGTGAGAGTATGCAGGCAGTTCCTGGAGGATGAAGGAATTGATACCATTGAATGGCTGCCACGCTTACCTCAGCTAACTCCAATAGAACACCTCTGGTATCATTCCATCCAACGCCGCCAGGTTGCACCTGTCCAGGAGCTCAATGATGCCCTGGTCCAGATCTGGGAGGAAAAACCCCAGGACACCATCCGTCGTCTCATTAGGAGCATGCCCCGACGTTGTCAGGCATACATACAAGCACGTGAGGGCCACACAAACTACTGAGGACCATTTTGAGTTGCTGCAATGAAATTTCACCAAAATGGACTAGCCTGCTGCATAATTTTTTCACTTTGATTTTAGGGGTGTCTTTGAATTCAGTCCTCTGTAGGTTGAGAATTTTCATTTCCAACAAATGATGGGGCACATTTCTTACGTTCCTAACACATTAACCTGTCCATATCAGTATAGAGATCCAGCATGAGATTTTTTTCCCATTGAGATCTGATGTGTTTTCAAAGTGTTCCTTTAATTTGTTTGAGCAGCATATATGGACTTTGATTTAAAGGAAAAGTACAGCCAAAGCTGTAGGAAGGATCATGACAATATGGTCAGGATCCACCCAGGAGCCTGGACCAGCACCTGGCTCAGCCTCACCCCCCCTCACCCCCTCCAGTGAGCGGAGGGGAGGGTTAGAGAGAACAGAGTCACCGTTCTCTGCTCAGATCACTCAGTTCTCACCCTTAGAGCTGGAGGGAGACAGATGTAGCATCAGATCGATTAAGAGAGACTTCACATTTAGCACATTGAATACTGTTTACTTTTTTTTTTTGCATGTTTTTGTTATATTCACTTGCGCTACATCATTTCACAGTATTGAGAGTTTTTAGGTTTGGGTAATTCAAACCTTGTTTGCCAGTAGTCACACAGCGCAGATTCATTACAATGTGTATTATTGCTTATGAAAATGCTACTTACCAAACTGTTTGTGATCCAAATACCTGCTAATCATTGACTAGGACCAAACATGCACCTAATAAAGTCACAGAAAATCAAAATGATCTGCATTCCAGGTCAAACACTCATATTGTACAAAACTTATTGCAGACAGCAAACAACAAAAAAGCCTGGCAGCTAACATTTTTAAAACAAAGTTCAGCAATGAGTGTCTACATATTTTACCAGTGCAGGTTTTCTTTAGGTCTACTGTTCTACAAAGTGATCACCTTTGTTGTGTGTGCAATTGTGAGATTACAAATTGCCATGTAGCCCTGGGCATACCCTACATGTTAGAACAACTATTTTAGTTAAAAGAAATCACACTAAACAACTGACATCTAAGTAGGCCCAGCTCATTCTGTTATTCTCTGCTCTTTGCTAAATACATACCATGAATATTTATTGCTACTTCACATTTGCTGGCACGATGATGACAGAAAATCTCATACCTTATAAACAGAGGTTCGAGATTAACAGATGCAGTTGGCTGAGCTTTGCCATATTGGGTGCACAAGCAAAAACTAGCTTTATCCAACAGTTTATAACAAAGTATACAATTGCAAGAAAAAGTATGTGAACCCCTTGGGATTACGTGGAGTTTTGCATGAACTGGGCATAAAATTGTGCTCTGAACGTCATCTAAGTCACAACAATAGAAGAACACAGTCTGCTGAACATAATACTACACAAACATTAGATGTTGCCATGGGTTAATTGCACATAACATGTAAACATTCACAGTGCAGGGAGGAAAAAGTATGGGAACCTTTGGACTTAATAACTGGTTGACCCTTCTTTGGCAGCAATAACCTCAACCAAACGTTTCCTGTAGTTGCAGATCAGACCTGCACAACGATCTGGAGTAATTTTGGACCACTCCTCTTCACAAAACTGTTTCAGTGTAGCAATATTCTTGAGATGTCTGCTGTGAATCGCTCTTTTAAGGTCATGCCACAGCATTTCAATCGGGTTGAGGTCAGGACTCTGACTGGGCCACTCCAGAAGGCGTATTCTGTGCTGTTGCAGCCATTGTTTTGTTGAATTACTTGTATGCTTTGGGTCATTGTTCTGTTGCATCACCCATCCTCTGCGGAGCTTCAGTTGGCGGACAGATGGTCGTACGTTTTCCTGCAAAATGTCTTGATAAACTCTGGAATTCATTTTCCCATCAATGACAACAATCCGTCCAGGCCCTGAGGCAGCAAAGCAGCCCCAAACCATGATGCTCCCTCCGCCATGTTTTACAGTGGGGATGAGGTTTTGATGTTGGTGTGCTGTGCCTTTTTTTCTCCACACATAGTGTTGTGTGTTCTTCCCAAACAACTCAATCTTGGTTTCATCTGTCCACAGTATATTTTGCCAGTAGTGCTGTGGAACATCCAGGTGCTCTTTTGCAAACTTCAAACGTGCTGCAATATTCTTTTTGGACAGCAATGGCTTCCTCCGTGGTGTCCTCCCATGTACTCCATTCTTGTTTAATGTTTTCCTTATTGTAGATGTGTCAACAAAAATGTTAGCATGTGCCAGAGATTTCTGTAGGTCTTTAGCTGACACTCTGGGATTCTTCTTTACCTCATGCAGCATTCTGCGCTGTGCTCTTGCAGTCATTTTTACAGGACGACCACGCCTAGGGAGAGTAGCAACAGTGCTAAACTTTATCCATTTGTAGACAGTCTGTCTTACCGTGGACACATGAACATCAAGGCTTTTGGAGATACTTTTGTAACCCTTTCCAGCTTCATGCAAGTCAACAATTCTTGATCGTAGGTCTTCTGAGAGCTCTTTTCTGCGAGGCATGGTTCTCATCAGACAGTGCTTCTTGAAACCAGTAAACCCAAAACAGGTGTGTGTTTTTTAAGGGCAGGACAGCTGTCAGCAACACATCCAATATCATCACACTGATTGGAGTCAAGGTTGGCTCACTCCTGGATCCAATTAGCTCTGGGAGAAGTCATTAAGCTAGTGCCTCACATACTTTTTCCTCCCTGCATTGTGAATGTTTTCATGGTATGTGCAATTAAACCATGGCAACATCTAATGTTTGTGTAGTATTATGTTCAGCTGACTGTGTTCTTCTATTGTTGTGACTTAGATGACATTCAGAGCACATTTTATGCCCAAT